CTCAAAGCCTTAAAATCACAGTTGCCCAGAATAGCAAGGTAAAGCTCTCCAAGCTGTTTGTAGTACAAATGTCCTGTCATGGCATCCGTGACCCGAGTCGAGGCTCATAGTCTCAGCTGTTGAGCTGTGTGGGGGGATGTGATGGGAAGAAATCCCAGTCTTTATAACTTTCTGTAGGTTTATGTAAACAAAGGACGGCTTCCTCATATGTGATGCGCGCTGAAACTATGGTAATTAGGTTACAAAGGCTGTGCCTGGAGAGCATCCCTGTTCCCACATGGCATTAGCATATTTAAGGAGATGTTTTTTATACTGACCTAATTAACAGGAAGCAGAAAATACGGATAAAGTGAATTTGAGCGCGTTCCAAGTTTTGGTTCAATAGGAGACAAACAGCCTGATCCACCGGCTGCATAGTGCAGCGTTAAACATGTTCTAACTGTGCAGTCCTATTAAATTTACAATGAAGTTTACGCCCCTCACTTCTGAGTAATTTTGTGGGTAGATGTGTCATATAGATGGGTGATTGTTAGGGAAATATTACACTGACAGAGATGAGCTGGAGCTGATCAAACACGTGCCAAAAAGACAAATAGAGGACATGCTAATCACTTCTGTGCCAGTCAGACAAATCAAATAATTATGTTCTTCAATTCTGTTGCAACAAGAGTTAAAGTAATAGCCATGCTTAGTGCAAATTAGCAGATGTTACCATAGTAACATGCTAAAACTAGAAAGCTCATTGGAGCTTCTTAGCTGCTGCTTACATGAGATGATATTTAACACAGTCTTCAATTTAAACTGTCAACGGTTGCCCCAAAGTGCTTCATATTGGTAAACGGCCTAAAAATCTACTTGAGCATTCAAACAACATGTTACGTTCACGTAACCACCGAGATTTATGCACATTCACAACACTTCAGAGCAATTTGGGGTTCAGTATCTGACAACAGTCAGTGTTGTCTTGTGTTGTGGGTGTCAGCCACCAGGTTTAAATAAAGATAACCAACACATCAGCCCGGTTCTTAGTCTGTGTACAGATCATTGTCCATTCACACTATGGATGCTTATCAGCTTTGATAAAGTGATACAAAGCAATAATATCTGAGTAGGCCTACAGTTGGTGATTTTGAGATTGGATTTCAGCCACACAGACCGTTTGCCCGCATACAGACAAACTCACTCAAATGTTACAGGTCGACAATTCTTGGACTACGACAGAAACGTGAAAGCTTCCTGCACCCATGCCCCCTGATTCTGCACATTCATATGCAAACATCTCTTTAACAACACTGTTTACTTTTTACCCTGAGAGCGACATCAATTTCTGCTTGGAATTTCATCGCAAGTCATCCAAAAGTTGTTGAGACATTTCACTCAAAACCACAAATTTGAACTCCACGGTTGTCCTAAAAGAAAAAAAAGCTACCACGAATGCTGAGATCATTCAGCCTGTATCAGCTGGCAGGCATTACCATCCACACAGCCAAACTTAAGCACTTGAGTGTGTGAGAAATTCAACCCCCTCATTGTTTAGTCTCACCGTGCATTAAGATCGGCTGAGGGAGCACTTTATGAGGTGTTTATAATTTATAAACGAAGAGCACAAAGTGTTGGATCACATGTGGGTGAACAACAGTTGTGAACATGATATTTTGGGCTAATGCTTAGTTGAATCTAAGGATTAGTTCCCTGTAGATTTATGCAGATGTGGTCAGTTAGGTTTTGCATGCATTGATGTTAAATAAAGAGGACTAGAACCACCGAACGCTGCCTTTAAACTTCTGCGATGCTTAATGAACGGATGCTTGCTCAGACGCAATTAAGACAAGCTAAGTTGTGGACAGCAGCTCCCACATTGCTGAACAATCCGAATCTGCTCCTGTTTCCTTAATAATTCCTTAAACAGAAGAAGAGCGTTCTAAACAGAAAACCACAATGAGAAGGTTAGAAAGTGAAACAGAGTCTTGTGGTTCTGCCGGTAACTTTTGGTCAAGAAGCTTTTGGAAATTTCACATTTGATTCATTTTTCAGTGGATCCTTAAACCTTAGGCCCAGAACAAAGAAGCCTTTGTCATTCAGTTATGAAGGACTGACAGCAAATCTCGGTGTTTACGACTGACGTTTCAGTTCAGCCACAGGAGTAAGTACCAAAAACCATCAGGGCTCCGCATTCAAGACTTTTGTTCTCAGTGTCATGTTTGAGGACACCAAAATAAAAAGTTTAGACTTTTGAGTACGGAGAGAGGCGACCGACTTATTCCAAAGCCATTTGCTGCACAGGGAGGTACAACAAAGTTACACATTCATTTCATTTTGCTCCAGATTACTCCAGTGTCTGAATAAGTGTACAGTGCATTTGTCTCCCTTTGTGACCCATGTATAAGGGAACCTAAGTGTGATAACTAACAGACGGTGACAGTAAGCATGTTCTGCTCCTTGCTACCCTCCAGTGGTGATCTAATGCCTCGTCCATCAAACTACCAACGAGCCAAAACAGGTCTGCTTTGGAATACTTCACACATCTGTCAAAACAGATCACTTGAGTTCAAACAGATGTCAGAGGGGCAAACTGCACCGTCATGGGCCAATACATTCTTCTTCCTGATACGTCACTTTGTGTGTGCGTATGTGTGTGTCCATCACAGGCCAACCATGGTGACTCCTTCATAGCCTGCTGGTTGCAGCAAAAGGAAGCCTTTTAAGAAGCAAAGCCCCCCCTCTGCCCCTGTCAGTCTGTCTTTTTTCTTGTCTTGTCTCCCCTCCCTGCCTTGTTGTCACTCTTTCACTCTCTTTTGCCATGCCCGCTTGCTTGGTCTCACTCCAGATAGCCTTTTATACCACTTTTTCTACTCCTGCAGAGACAGAGAACGTTTTATGCCTACTTGTCTCCGTCTGATTTTTTTCTTTTAGCTTCCTATCTCTTGCTTCCACTCGACCAATCAACTCGTTCTCCATCTCCATCTTGTGTCCTCCTGTCTGTGGTTACAGCTCAACTTGAATGCACACGTGAACAGCTGCTTTTCGTCACAGACAGCATCAGCAGCACAGAAACCTGATAGAAACCTCTGTCGCAGGAGCTCAGCTCCCAGAAGCTTGGCCTATCCTGCCGACACATACACACTAACTACAAACACATGCAGGCCTCGAGGCAGACCCACACCACATGTGAGTGCAGTGAACCTTTTTATTCACACACATGTGCGACTACCTACATCATCAGATCAGTTCTTTATTCATCCATTTACAGCCGTACAAGTCACTCGCATTGTCTGAGGGGGTCGTCCACACACGGGCCCCTGAAGGAGGCGATCAATTACATGCTAATAACAACCTACGGGTGGATACAGGATAATAAAAATTATACGCCCACTAACAATATCATTGGCCGGGTCTGAGCTGGGACGCCATCAGTGACTACTAAGCAGCTGTCTTAGGATCAAAACGGGAATGGTGCAAATCCAGCTGAACCAGCAGTTCTGAAAAATGAAGCCAACATGAAAGGTTAAAAAAAACTAACGGAATTACAAAGCATGTTTACAGGATAGAACAGACGGGTAACAGACGTCTCCGAAAACGTCGGAGCGCTTTTGAAAATATGTGGTGTCCTGATAAACTGAGCAGATATTTGAGGTTTACACAGCTACATTCTCGCCTGAAAATATGTTAAACGTGTATTTTGTGACCAAGAAAGAATAATAAGAGTAATATTAAAACTAACTAGCTGCCGCCATTGTTGGAAACTGAGCTGGGCTGCGCTATGAATTCTGGGATAGGTTGGGCCCGACCCATCCTTCATATCTGGGGAAATGAAGAATGCATTTTTCGGCATGGTGGAGTCTTCGAATTTGGACAGGCTTCGCCGTGTCGCTGTAACGTAATTGGTCTACAAATGCGGCCTCCGAAGGATGCAGCCGCTAACTTTGGAGACAGCTACGATACCGGACACTGCTCCTTCTTCTTCGGGGTTTGGCATCCTTGTACATGCAGTGCTGCCATCTTCTGTTTCAGTCCGTTATTACACTCTTAAATCCTGCTACTTATTCCTGCGTCCTTTGGGATCTTACAAAGCTTCAAACGACACGTCGACTATTAAATCAGTCGTCGACGATTTTGATAGTCGACGTAATCGTGACTAGTCGACTATTCGTGGCAGCCCTAATGGAGAGTTTCCCTTTTATAAAAGTTTCACGGCCATTTGAAAGTTAATCCAAGCTAAAGAAGCTAGCAACTGTGGCAACCTGCTGGCAACCAAAGCAACTCCTAGGAGATTTTTGTGCAGCACTTTCTTTGTAAACTCAGACAGCCAGAGCCAGCAACCTCCAGGAACCATTTGCCAACCAGTCTGGGAATACACATCATTCCCTAGCAGCCCTGGTTGTATCACATCCTTTATGGCAGACAGCTCCTGAACAATGTGAGCCCTTTCACCTCTACTTAACAAGCTCCAAAGCAGAATGATAAATCCTCCTCTGACACTTGAAGCCTGTGAGAGATTCAGGGCCTCCTGAAAGTTTTTCACTTGGGGATCTGGAACAGTAAATGTCTGTAATTCCTATAAGCTCTGTCCAGCTCCGGGGCCCCTGAATCATCACACTCCACCCACCCACTCACCCACTCACTCACTTACTCACGCTTTATTCCCGATTCTCTGCTGCGTAAGAGACTTTATCACCAATAACACATTTCATGTGAAAATGAGAATTCAGACCACGTGTGAGCTGCTTATAAACGGCCCATTCATCTGATGCTTGAATGGTTTAAACAGATACAAGCAAACTTTAAACAGTTGTTGACTAATAGATTGTTGCATCCATGAGTTCATCCATGAACGGACCAGTGGGGAAATTCACAGGTCTCGAACCTTTCTTTGGAGAAGAAAAAATAACAAAGCAAACTTTTTTAACCAAAGAGTTTAATTTGAAACTATTTTTAGGTAAACAAACGTTTTAAACTGAACGAGTCACAGGTTGGTGATCTCTGCGCGCGGTGGACCTTACCTGTGCCTGCTCGCCGCTCTCTGACCCGCTGGAACTGTAGACTCCGCGTATCCCAGACCCGAACACACACGGGCTAGTAAGAAGGTAAGCAGGTAAAATAAATGCTCCATCATTAAGTCCAATGTAAGTCAAAGACAAATGAAAGTCATTTAGGTCCAAAGTCTCTCCAAGAAAAAGCCCGCTGGATCCGTTCAGTGACGCACAGTCGGTAAATGCAGACGCAGAGCCATGACTTCACAGGATGATGAAGACCCGCAGAGTCCAGTCAAGTGCATTTCAGACGCTAAACTGCGAGCGTGCTGGAGGCAGACTTCCGCTGAAGAGCGAAGGAACAAGAAGCAAGTTTGCTGAGCTCAGTGAGCCCCATGCCAGCTCCCTCCCTCCCTGCATGCCCCCTACCCTCCCCCGTTTGTCTGTTTCGCTTTGATACTCAGTTTACTGGAAGTGCACTTCGCTTTCTACTCTGCTTCCCAAGTGTACTCATGTCGACGTGCGTGACGCTTTTCAGTGTGTTGTTATCTTTTTAGTAAGTAGTAAAGTTGATTTATTAAACGCTTTTCATAGACAGACAGTCACACGCACAGAGTAAAGTTATTTTTAAACTTTACTTAATAAACGTTATAACCTAAATCGTCAGAATACGAAGTAGACTCCTCTGCTCTCAGGCCCTGCGCCAAAATCACAGTGTAAATATAACTGTGGATAAACTGTATAGAAAAGATGGCCATAACTTATCTAGATGGATGAGTTAGAACAACAACCTGTCTCTGAACTATTAAAACCGCCCAAAAATATACTTTAAAATGTGTCAGTTTGGACACATTTCAAAGTATATTTATTTTAATATGTGCTCACGTTAAAATAAATCACACTGAGCTAAAGTCAAGGCTCTGAGGCATGAAACATGCTTATTTATTTCTGATATTGTCCCAGTTACTTATTTTACTTTGTTTTACACGCTGTAACTGTAAAACTTTTAGTCTCATCTTTTAAGCCAGCCTGGAATAGAAAATCGATTAACTCAAAGTAAGGATTTTATATCGTAGGCTGATGTCAGATTTCAGTCTGAGAAGCAGATGACATCGAGCGACTCCAATCAAACGCACACAGACAGCAAGTAGTCGAAGCATTGTGGATATTCTTGTGCTCTCTGAGCCAAGAGAGAGCTTTTATTCATGCCATGATTTACGCTGCTCTTCATTTCCTGCTTCAGTTCTCTTCCTGCTATTATACGTATCCAAAGTGGGCCAACATGCCCAACAGTTAAATATAGACGGCTGCGATCTCAGCAGCTCTCCTGTGAGTGACACGGTGTCCAAAGTCGGTTTAAAAACAGTCGTTTTTATTTGTACCGTGCTTTCAAATGTATTTGGAAACATTTGCTGAACTCTAATTGTCCACACTCTGTGATTCAGACGAAAAAGGGGGGAAAGGACACACTGGCTGTCATGGTCCGTGGGAGTACCCGGAGGGGTTTTCCTTCTGTGGCTGCTGAGCCATCCCTTTGGGGCGGAGACTGCAGTGCTTCACCTGAGCCTCTTCTGTGAGCAATCAGCGGGAGACCTACTTAAGCTGACTCGACTGCTTCTCCTCGCCAGTTTGTTCTACTCTTCTCGGTGGTAAATGACGTTTGCCCTTCGTGGTTTTCCTCGTGTGATTTATCTCTTGGAGTAATTTCTGTCTTCCCTTCATTCCGTGGAGTTCCAACCCTGGCTTCACCTTACTTGGACAGTCTCTGTCTCCCTGCCTGCTCACCCGCCTGCCCTCCGAACTCCACGCTTGAGCTTGAGACCCTCCAGACACTTTCCACAGACCTCTCTCCCCTCCCCTCAGTGATACTAACCCGGACTGGCACAGTAAGGCAAACAATTCTCCAGTTTCTAGTTATCAAGCTCCAGTTTTCTCTTCAGACTATAGCTCCCTCTCCCTCTGTTACAGAAAATTCCCCCGGCTCTCCGACCTCTTCCCCATTCCTGCAACTAGCCTTATTGGGCCTCCCTCGTCACTTTAGGTCACTGTTCCAAATAAATATCGCTGTAAAGCATTCCTCGCCCGTGTTTGTCTGCGTTTTTGGCTCCACTTTCCTCGCAAACCTTTCGGTTCATGACACTGGGTTTGTTTTTCGCGTTTGGTTATTCATGTTCAGAGAGCCTCGAACAGTTTCTGTGTCCTGATGAGCAACTTTTGTGAGACTGGTTGTAGGAGGCTGTTTTCTTTCCCTGGAGTTCTCTTGGTCTGTTGGTTTATTTCTTTCACTCACTGAAAGCTGTGCATCTCCTCCACTGCTGCCACAGAAGAATGCCCAGCTCAGCAGCCCTCCCATCAACCCACAAATGAGATCAGCTCTCCCAGCTGCGCTGTTGCCGACTCCCCACTGAGAGCAGAGCCAGGCATGCTGAGGAGCATAGACCATAACAGGAACATGCAGCTGTACCTGCAGCTGTATGCATGATGATAAACGGATAGTTGGCAAATTAAAGATAAACTCTGCTAGGCCATGACTCAGATATATCATTGAAATACACCCAACAGTGTTAGGAAGCCAGGTGTGGTACAAGCTGATGCATGACTGCCATGCTTGCCCTTTTTGATGTTTTCTACCAAGCAGCTCAGCATCCTCATAAGTCAGAGTGACAGTTAGCAAAGCATCTGCTGGGCTTGTAAAATTGGCCATTGCCCAGTTCTAGCTTTGTGAACTGGATTTCCAGCGCAGTGACCCCTGACCTACGCAGATCCATACCAAACTAAATTCCTTCCAAAGAAACGCTGGAACATATTTATCAGATTGGGAAGTAGTGGCCTGTGTTTAGCAATGGTAGAGCCACTGTACTTTATTCCACAGGCTCATGGCTCATTAACTGCTGCTGCAGGCTGTAACATTGCTACTGTACCTTTCAAATGACCTGTTGCTGGTGTGAGATGCAGGCCAGCCTGCAGTCGAGGTGATAAGAGTGAGAATGAATGAGCGGCCTCACAAACCACGTGGTGTGTGACACAAGCCAGATATAAGAAGAATCTGAACTCGAACTAAATGACGGGGAGCGCTGTGAAAAAGACGTTCATCATGTTGGAACGTGCAAAATACATCCCTCCCTTTGTTTACAGTGAATCTTAAAGAAAGGGATTTTTCTGGACAGCAGACACGGACGTGGTGACGCCCTGTTATTTTCAGACAAAACCCTTAACTTGCCTCCTTTTCTGAAGCCAAACTTTCCCAAGATTAATTGGTAGCAATTTCCGAATTGCAAGTACTAAGATGATGAAATTAGTACCAGTTGGAATTTAAAAGTGCAACAAGTCCACGAGTCAACTGGAGACAGGTGTTGCCAGCTTATCTACTGCACATTTTTAACACTTAAGCTCACTGTGGAGTGTTTGCTGTGGAGTGGACTCTACCCTTCACAGAGAAAACTAAACGAGACAGTAACACAGAAACCTCTTACTGCATTTATTTTCATCGCCATAATTAATGTGCTGGTTATTTTATCTTATACATCTAAGAATATACAGAATATGTGCTCTTTTAGTGCTCTGAGCTAAATGCTAACAAGAATATGCTAACAAAGGAGAAATCTCTGGGGCTGAAATGTTAAGTCGGCTCAGAAGTGCCAAAAACTGCGGTTTCTCTAATGACTACTAGACGATGACTCCAAAAACAAGCCAGGCTCCATCACCCGTACGTGTGCTGACGTAGAAAGGCCCCAACAGCACACACATGGTGAAGAGGTCCAGTTCTAACAGAGGTTAGGCCTAACACAGAGGCTGCAGCTACAGCTGGCTGAGACTTGATTTGTATGGAGTTAGCGATCAAATAATAACATTTTGTTAAGTAGACTGGCCAAAAATCTTTGATTTAGTCTAGGTGAAGGTGTGTGTGTGTGTGTGTGTGTGTGTGTGTGTGTGTGTGTGTGTGTGTGTGTGTGTGTGTGTGTGTGTGTGTGGTATGCACTGAAAAGCTTTAAACTTTTAGAGAAAAAGATTTTCAGAAACATCAAATGAGAAAATAAATAAAATTCACAACTGGAAATGAAGTAACAGGTCACGGTTGAGTATTGTAGGAATCAAAGTCTTTTTTATTACCACAGCGATTGCTCCTGGTAGCCTTTAAAAAAGAAACCAGGTTTAAGCCGTGGCTCAGGGGGTTGGGAAGTGCATCTGTAAGGTCGCCGGTTCGATCCCCGGGCTCTCCGTCCTGGTCATTGTGTCCTTGGGCAAGACACTTTACCTACCGCCTACTGGTGATGGCCAGAGGGGCCGATGGCGCGATATGTCAGCCTCGCTTCTGTCAGGGCAGCTGTGGCTACGACTGTAGCTGCCCAGTGTGTGAATTGTAAAGCGCTGTATGAATGCAATCCACTATTAAGCCACTTGGCTTAATTGGTCTTAATTTACCTGAAAGCTTCAGTCATTTCTATCTTCAAAATGTGCACTAGCTGACCTTACATTACTCAATGAGAGTAACTATTCTGAGTACTTTGGATTACTTAATATAGTACCATGCTCTTTACAACCACATGAATGTCCTATTGCTGTGTGATTTATTACTATTACTGAAGGTTACTCTCCACACCAACACCAACTAGATGTTTAAACCTTAATATAAATGAGTAACAGTAGGTGGACATTAGGTAAGGCTGCACTTTTTGCAGCGATCTCGTGTAGAAAACTATTCGGCGCGTAGATAAAACAGGTCCGCGGCTCCGAACCGTAGTAAAGGACCTCTGACTTTGTGTTGGGCTCGTAGCCGAAAACTAGCTTTACTTTGTTGTCTGGGTCAACTTTGCTAGCAGAGACAGAGAGAGGCGTTGAAAGGCTGCTTATTGTTTCGGAGGAAAACACGAACACGCCGTACAGTCGAGTCTTAACAGCTTACTTACAGCTGGGCTCGACAGGCTCTCTGTTTGGCTGCAGTGGTTATTATTATATTTACATGCTTCCAGCTCCCGTTTCTGCTCGATGACAACTCGTACTTTTCCTTTTTCTAAACATGTAACAGAAAACCCAAAAACCAAGTCAAATCAAGCCGAGCTGACTGAGCAGGAACTAGTGGACGGGGCTGTAAGAACGTCGAGCGTCTCCACACATGTCAATCCAAAGAGAATATTTCCATATCTGTTATTGTGGAGCCATACTGATAGAGATAGCATCTTGATGCTACTTTTTTCCCTCCGGGGTCACGAAGCTTGACCTTTCTCTGACCCTAACACTGTTTCTATCGTTCATATAGACCTAGAGCCAGGACGCTCTCCGCCATCTGCTGCTGTGGCAGCCGTTCTGTGCGCTGACACGCTGAAAGTTGCTGATGAGCCTCTTCTTCTTTCCTTCCTCACATTTTGCTTCGTTTCACAGGAATCTCTGGCGCTTTCATTGGTTTGTGTGGTTGCACTG